TAGTCTCTTACCACCAGAAATGTCTGTCAATCACGAACTAACAGCGCACGGGACCGTACAAATGCCACTGAATGAATGAGAACGGAACAAAAAAAAAAAAAAAAAACGTTTGAAGGCGTTTGAAACGACAAACAAGATACGTTTGACAAAACTTATGAGCCTGTTTGAAGAAAAAAAAAACTGCACGGAAGTGTTGTTGATCTGTGAAAGTTCCGTGGCGTTTTCAATAACGTAAGATTCAAAACATTCTGCTGGAAAACTTGGATGACGATAATAATTTTGCACCCGCTCGAAGTACTTTCAGCAATGGACTACCGTTTCTTCTGTAGCCTCTGACTAGCAATATTTCCAACGCGGGACTGACCTGGTTGAACGTCTTGACGTTGTTGAGCAGCCCGAGCGGGTCCGAGTCGAACGACCCGACATCGCCAGCGCCTCCCAGATCCGCCCTGGTCAGCTGCTGGTTCAGACTCTCCAGGCCCAGCTGCGGGGGCGCGGCCGACACCATGCACAGTCAGTGGGTGGACGGTCACCTCAGAGCAGGCAGTTTGGCTCAACGTACTCAAATGGAGAACTCAGCAGACCACGTGAAGGTGGCCCCTGACCACCCAGCCACACTGTGACACCTTTTTTCATACTCAAGCAAGTCAATTGAAGTCTCTTGCTGGTATCACGCTGGTGCTGCTAGCCTCAGCAGCTGTACGCCGTGTATCCTAAAGTTCTGCCGTGCAATGGCGAAACCGATTGTGTCGGGTCAGAGGTCATAACTTCAGGGCAGAGGTCACCCGAACGTAATCAGTTTTGCCTTAGCACGGCAGAGTTGTGCGCCAGTGTCGGTGGTCTCTCACCTCTGATAGCTCGTCGCCATTTGTACTGATGGTGGAGAGGAAGTCGGCGTCGATCGAGTGCGCGCCACCAGACGAGGAGCCCGAGCTGAGTTGCTCCCAGCCGCAGCTCCACGACCTGTGTGGGCACAACGGTCACGTATTGAACAGCTTGGTGTGACTGATGTTAGAAAAATGCGACCAAAGAATGGTGGGAATTGCACTGAAATTCGTAACAATAAAAGACAGCTTAACTTGTCTAATTCACCTCCTCATGGAGCAAATGGTCGACTGAATAAGAACTTGCAAAATAAAAAAGCTTTAAACTGACAGACAGCTGCATAGGTCCACATCACTGCCATCACATGCAACAAGTCAATATACCTACTACAGTGCGAATCACACAGCTGTATATAAAAACTGGATTCATGACTGACCTGCCCTCATCCTGGGAGAGCCGGTCGTTGAACTGCTGATTGTCCTCGGCCAGGTTCCACAGCCGCAGGTCATTGCCGCTGCCCGACGGCACGTTCAGGCTGCTTAGGGCGTCCTCCAGACGTCCATTTGGCTGTGGTAGCAGCGACAAACCGGCGGTGTCACAGGTTGGAAACTAGCTTACAGAAATGCACATCCACTATCTGACTATGATAATATGAATGTTTATCAATAGTTACGGAGCGAGCGAAGCGAGCGGAGTCTTTCCTTAGGTTAACGGAAATTTCTGAGTATGAGCGGCCGGCCGGCCGGCCGTGCGGACGCTTTTGCGAGGCTTAAATCTCAGCAACCACTTGACCGATTTACATGCGGTAATTTTTGTAGGGTAGCTTCATTCCTTCTACCAAGTATTGGACTATTCCCGATGCATGTGGGTGACCACTTATGCACGTGCCGCGTGCAAAACGAAGAGGTGTCACTTTTGTAATTGCTGCAATATCTCGGTAACTACTTGGCCGATTGCGCTGAAAGTTGGCATGTAGGTAGGCACCCACTAGGCACTGCATATCCATGTGCCAGAGTTGGGGTGCTGCTGCACGTGCGCACGTGCAGGGGTCGTTTCCAGATCTCGAGAACGGCTCGACCGATTGCGCTCAAATTTGGTACACAGTTAGGGACCGGTTAGTAGGGTGCCGTGCACAAGTCAGTTGGGGCCCATTTTGCACGTGCGCACGTGCAGGGTGCCGCTTCCAGATCTCGAGAACGGCTGGGCCGATTGTGCCCAAATTTGGCACATCGCTAGAGACCAGTTAGTAGGGTGCCGTGCACAATTCAGTTAGAGGTACCCCCTCGCAATTTCGCACGTGCAAGGCCCACCGTCTCGCTCGCTCCGTTAGTCGCCCCAAAAGGCGTTATACTGGTAAATACCTATAAAGAAAAGCACAACTCCTCAGATGCTATCCAATGATGCTAACTACTGGGCAAGCAAGTACTTATGAAACAGACATGAAAAATCATGTCACCCATGGTTGGCAGAGCAATGAACTGGACAACCATTGAGAGAAGTCCTGGGCATGGATTAGGATTAGGAATACTTCATCCATGCCCTGGGCTTGGGTTGCTCTGGCTCTGCATACATGAAGCTCCTGGTGGGGGTGACTTTCAACTGATGGAAGCAGCCAGAGCCACTGTAAGCCCATGAGTACCTATTAAGTGTGTTAGTCCACATGAGCATGATCAATTTTGACCTCAAAAGGTACCTAGGTACATTAGTTATCAGCATTTTATGAATCAGCCAGCATATGTCAGGGGTAATGCTAACACAAGCTATGGCTAGTGTGAGTTCTAGCATTGCCTCTCTATCCATTGCCTCTCTATCAATACAAAGCACCTGTAAAATAAATATGCATTGAGTGTGGTTAATTTAGAGATATTGATTTATTTTATGGCATTTAAAATGTATGTCAAATGAACAGACAATTTTACTAGCAGAACATGCTGAATACTGAAGCAGGTGACCATATTCTGATTTGAAGGGTACCATCATTGTATAGGACATTGGCATTCATAGCACCAATGCCATGGCATTCATGACATAATACTTCAACCCAGACAAAGTAAATATTGAATTATATTTTTTCTAAAAATCTGAAACTTGATAGAAGTTAAGTTAAAAAATAAAGTATAAACACTGTGCACTGCAAAGTGTACAGTCAGCATGAAGTAAGATGCAACCTTAGATGGACATACCTGACATACTCCGAGGAAGTCATTGTTGCTCTGTTTGAGGCCAGAGCAGGCTGACCAAGGTGAGAAAAGGGAGACAGTTTCCTTTTCAGTCAGCATGTCTTGGTCATTATGTTGGAGTCCCTCTTAATCCCTGAAATAGGAAGGCCAGGTTGTGCATCAGTTGCAAGTACCACAATAAATAGCAGCAATACCACCTCTATAACACTTGATTGATGTTATTTACATGATATGGAAGAAAATAGTAGGTGTGGTTCAGTCTCACTTCACAATAGGATCGAGTAAAAAGTGTGAAACCTATCTGCCACTTAACAGTACACAGGCATAACAGTCACCTCAGCTAGTCTGTTCAGTGTTCTCATATGCAAGTTTCCAAAATCCAAACCATGCATTGCTGGCACAAACTTAAATCAAGCAGTCCTTTCCCAAAGTATGTGAATTATTTTGAGAAATGGAGCAACAGCACAGGAAATAGGGAGCCTAAAAGACCAGGGAGTTAGGTCCTAGACTTGAAAACATTCAGAACAATATATGCAGCCATAAACAGCAAGCAGTTATTTCCAAGCCCCATTTCAACAATTAGTTCTTAGTAGTTCATTAGGGTTTACTGGCGCGTCGACAGTGGTGGTCATTTTGCGCCCACCATTTCAACAGTGTGCCGCTCATTAGCATCTTCTAGCAAATCAGCTACGCTGCTGTGCAAAGGCAAAAACTACTATGTGAGGTCAGAGTCTGACTTCACATAGTAGTTTTTGCCTTTGCACAACAGTACTGTCCTCAGGTTCTGATTGGTTGAGCCTGATGTGTCATTTGTCAAAACTTTGAGAAAAAATTAATAATGCATTGCAGACTGCAGACTAGGCAATGCATTGTTGATTTACATATCCTAATTGTAATAACTTAGTCATATTTCAGTATGCTTTAGAGGGTGCTAAGCATTATTTCAGAACCAATCTTTTCCTTGATCATATTTTGATTGATCATGATATTTTCAGAGTGGAACAATTAGTTCAGGCAGTCCAAGTGGTTTTCGTCAGAAAGGTACTAGGTAGGTACCAAAAGCAGTGTCATTTTCAGATCCTTCATACAGGGCCCTATGACTTTGAGAGGCAGTGTTGTCACAGGACCATTAAATAGAGCACTCCAATTTTAGCTTATTTCCCTGGTACCTAAGTCACCAACTGAGGTAAAGCACAGGTAGTAAATCACTTTTTGGTCCTATAGTGCACACGCACAGTCCCTAATACTTCTGATCTTGGATATCAAGCAGAGGGCTTGAATATAACAGGATTAAAAAGAGTAGCACAGCTGCAAATAAGCAGATTTCAAGAAGAAAGCGAAAGACAAGCATGGGTCAGTCATGTTCCTAGACAAAAGCTGCGCGGCACCGGTAAGCCCGGCGAGCTCCCATGCTGCACAATCAGCACCATAGGTCTGTAGCAGCCGTCATATGTGTAACTATCGTTAAAAAGTATATAATTCAATATCCATGTGAGAAAACCTTACATCAATGTCCATCAATCACATAAACAATACCTCACCCACACGACCACACCACACAACCACGGCGAACTTTGGCGACCCATGGTGCGTTCGTAACAGGTAAGAGAAATAATTTTGATTATTTTGTCATTCAAAGACTTTTTAAGAATACGAAAATAGAAGGAAGATAAATAAAATATGATCTTTTTATGAATTAATTGTAATCAAACTACATATTTTGCCAATACCACACTTCTAAAAATGCAACAGGTACGAATCCAAATAGGACGAACGCAGCCTCTGGTGAACCGGAAAAAACAACTTTCAGGCTAGCAGACTAATACTGAGGAACATTTAAGATTTATTTTATTCTTTTTCAAGACATTTTATTACGTACTGAAGAATTGTCAAAAAAACACAACTCCGTAATAAAAAGGCTTATCTTATTCATCCCAAACGAAAAAATATTTTCAAAGCGATTTCAAGTTTGTCAATTTCCATACCGAAAAGTTTAGTTTTGTTGCTGTTTGGCTTCTACATATGGTAGCATCAGATTTGGTATAATTTGCTTGTTTGTCTCATTTCTTGCGCAACAGTTTCAAATTACTTCACAAAAATAAAAAAGCTAATGGCGTAGTGGAAACTGGAAAGTGGATATTGCTTTGTGTTCAAGGTTAAGACGACAAAAACATTGGGATTTGTTAAGGTAAGCCCAAGGCTATATAAACCGGTAAGCCCCTCAACGGCCCGTTCATATTCAGATTCTTGGTGTAATTCATGCTTCACTGTAGATGTTAAAACCGCAGTGCATATCAATATAAATAAACAAAACACTAAAAGATAAAAGGCGTTAAGCGAATGCAATCCATTGCTTTTACTCGTGGCCATCAGCCATCAGCAAGGACCTAAGAGACAAGAGTTGCTTGTCCAGTTGTCCCCCTTGCCTTTTGGCCTCAGTGTGCACCCTGCTGGGGGCGTTTTTGTGCCCTGCTGCCGCCAAAAACGCGCCGCACAGCGCTGCTGTTCATACATCTTTTCCGCACATGTACAATTTTCAGACCCTGGTCATTCAAGGTCAGGGCATGTCAAGTGACATTACTGCAGAAAACTTCAAATGCCTGCTGTACTGTAGCCGGACTGGAAAAAAATGCACGTTATGCCGAATATGTCCGGCATAGTAGTGGGATTGCGCTGAAAATTTTAGCACGTCCAGCGTAACTTCGTTTGGGCCGAATTTAGTGCATGACACTTGACAGCGGCTGAATTTTCAGTGCAGGGTAGCCACATGATTTTTTCCGAAAGGCGGTCACCAAATGTAGTCGGCGCGCTGGTCAATCAATCAGCAGATTCGCACTGCTCTGGAGAGGTTTCGGGATGAGACGTCCACTCCCCGGTCATCGCGTTCTCGAACTGGCGAGCCGCTTGAGTCTACTCTGCGGAGGAGCGGCCGTCCAGGTGAGGCCTCAACCCTCGGCGTGGAGTAAGGTATGGAAGACCTTGTTGAGCATAGCCATAGCCAATACTGCAGTGGGTTCCTGCCCACTGAGGTATCGAGGGAATGAGAGCACGGAAGACCTGGCGAAACAAGCGGCCGCCCTGCCCTCAAATGCCCGCTTGCTAACTAGGGCGGTTCATTGTGCGGTCTCGCATCAATGGCGCGACAACTGGTCCGAGTCACTATTCAAGCCACTCCTCGGGAGCACGCCGCCGCTCCCTATCCCCGGAGAGGACAGAGAGGACGCCGTTTCGGTGCACCAGATGAGGGCGGGCCACTAGGGCCGCTCGCTCCAGTACGTGCACCCAACGTGCACCGAATCGGCTGTCTCCAGTCCGCGCAGTCCGCGGCGTGCCAGCAGTGCCCAGACAAGCGGTGCCACGCGGCGCTCTGCGGCGTGTGCCGAGAAGAGGCTGATGTGCCGTAGCACGTGCTGCTCCGCTGTTCGGCCCTCGCTGACTCCCGGCTCCCGCCAGCCTCAAACACACCGCTCCGCCGATTTTTGTGGCTCCGGAACTTCCGGTTCCAGCCTTGTTTCACGGCACGACGCTTCAGTGTACTAAGCGTATTGAGGTATTGGATTTCCATGGAAATAATAAAAAAACTTTCGGATGCTCAAACATGAGAGAGCGTCCAAGGCCCAGGAACACTCTGGCCAAGGCCGTATAACTCTGGCTAGTTGATATAGCCTTGATCGGTAGATGTGCACATGTGCTTTATATAAAAGTCAGTGGCTTGATTTTGGCACAAATAGGCTCCAATTTTGACGCAAATCATGCAGGAATTTCAGCGCAAAATAGCTTGCGCCGAATTTCGGCACAAGAGGGTCTCACGGGCGTCCGGCGTAGTGTAGTGTATGGATGCTTTCCAGTCTGGTACTGTAGCTACACGGACTTGATGATCACTTTGATTTGAACCATTCAGCAATTGATAAGAGTAACAGTATACATAAAGTGTATATCTCAGAATTTTGATATCTGTGACCCAGGGCTGTGGAGTTGGAGTCAGAGTCAGAGTTGCAGTCGGTCGGAATTGACAGTTCTGTCCGGGGTCAGAGTCGGAGTAGCCAAAATCTTACCGACTCCATCTCCGGCTCAACGTCATGCACTGCACCTGCTTGATTGACGATATTGCGCTCGAAATTAGATTTTGTCGAAAAAAGATCATTTTGCTGTTTTGGATGAACGTTTTCAGCGAAAAAAAGCAGAAGACTGTGAATTCCCCACAACCTGCTTTTTCTAATGCATATTTGCAACGTCAAGCCTTAGAACGCACAAGAGATCGTTGCAGGCAAGATAAGAACATCTCCATTATGAACTTTAATATCAGGATATGGATTTTAATAGAACTGTCCGGAGTTGGAGTCTGAGTTGGTATCGGAGTCGGAGTCGGAGTCGGAGTCGATTTTTGAAGCCGGAGTCGGAGTCGGAGCCACCCTAAAATTCATCGACTCTGCAGGTCATGAAGGTCACCAGCAGTTTTTTTTTTTGCTATAACTTTTTATAGAGACGTGCTAGAGCGTTGAAAACAAGTCAGATGTGTTCAGCTCGACGATACGGATCGACTAATATGCAGCTTGACCATTTCCGGTCAAGTCATGACCTTGACCTGATGGCTATAAAATTTTCAAAATGACCTTTAAACGTCACCTTAATAGATTCAACGCGTCTCCACGAGAGGAACACGATGCTGGCAAAAATAATGTTGTTGCTTTCTTGAGTCAACAGAACAACTTTTTTTCTTAAAAACAGCTATTTTTAGTTTTTGCCCTCAGGAGGGTAAACCGTAGATCTGAGATCAAATCTGAGAGCAATATTCAGAAAGGCATGTGAAAGAGCTACCCAATGCGCTTTTATGCGGCGCTGTGGCTCTATTGGTTCCCGAGTTATGCGTTGGGTGTTTCGAAAAATTGTTGAAATAGACAAAATGTGACCTTTGGTGACATCTGGTGATCTGACCTTTGACCTGATCTAAAAAAAAATGACTGAAGTATCTCCGTCATAACTTTTGACGTTCTTGCGAATGCCACTTACCGCGTGTTGCTACGTGGCCTAGGAGCCAAGTTAAATGGGGGGCGTTTACCCCCCCCCCCCCCCAGCACGAGACGGAAAACTCAGACTCCCAGCATGGCGCGGGTTAATAGCAGTGCTCGGGCCTTAGGCATGTCTCTCAGGCCTAACCGATCAGTCTTCTTGAGCCCTGCGAAGCCCGGCCACCAAAAGGGTACGCTGTTCACACCTCACATTGCCATTCGCCACACTCGGGTATTACGGGTCTGATTTCCGTGTTTTCGCTAAGTGGGTTTTCGATTCGAAGGTAGAGTGAAGAGACTTAGCGAGTGATGTTAGCTTTTGTAAAGTCTCGTCATCTTCTGCAGAAATTGATGAAATAGTCTACTTGCTCGGAAATTCCTTCCTTCGCCCATGCGTAAAAATTTCGGTGCTCGGGGTTATGCCGAACTTTGAGCCTAAATTTCAGCGCAATCCGTCCATAACGCCGGACGGCGGACATGTCGACGGTTACATGATTTTTTTTTTTTTAAATCTTGCTTGACACTTCCGCTCGTACAGAGCTCACTCTCGCACTCGCTTGCTTGTCGCCTAAAAGTAGTATTACAGGTCATTAAAACCTGAACCATCTTCGATGGGGGTTAATATCGAGAGAATGGAACTAAACATGAGCAGACTTGCATTTAGCTTTACCAGTTTTACTGAAGGTATTCCCACCTCTGCATTCTCGTTTGTATCATCTTACCATATTTTCCTCGTGTCCACAGGCTGAGTGACACTTCCTCCGGTACAATGAAGTCGATCCTGTCTGGCCGGGCGGCCAGCGACTGGTCCAAGTCTCCCGATCAGACCCTGTTTCGCGAGCTGCACTGGTTCGTCAGCAAGGCGCCGCCGAGCGCCACAATGCGCGGGCCGCTGGCCGCCCGCCTGGAGCGGCTGTCGCGGCCGGAGCGGCGCGCGCTGGTCTCCCAGGTGGGCGCCGAGGACGGGTGCTCGCCGCTGTTCCTGGCCGCCAAGGAGGGCCAGCTGGCGCTGGTCGAGTACCTGCTGGACGTCTGTGACGCCGACATCGAGCAGCGCGGCGAGTACGAGGTGGCCAACGACCGGACGCGCCACCGTGTGACGCCGCTGTGGTGCGCCGCCGTGGCCGGCCGGCTGCCGGTGGTGCGCTGCCTGTGCCGCCACGGCGCCGACGTGAACTGCCAGTCGGACTCGGGCTCGACGCCGGTCCGCTCCGCCTGCTTCATGACCCACCTGGACATAGTGGTGTACCTGGTGACGGAGGCCGGCGCCGACATCCTGCGGCCCAACCACAGCGGCGGCACGTGCCTCATCAACTCGGTGCAGAGCGAGCCGCTGTGCGACTTTCTGATCCAGCACGGCGCGCAGGTGAACGCTGTGGACATCCAGCACAAGTCGGCGCTGCACTACGCCATCCAGGAGCACCGCGAGGAGACCACCCGGCTGCTGCTGCGACACGGCGCCGACCCGTTCGTACTCAGCAAGTGAGTGCCGGCCGCCGCCCACCGGGCCGCGGCATTCACTATTCATGCCCGTTTAGGGTCCGTTGTGGCCCGTTTGGGGTCCGTTGTGAAGCATGCCATCATTTCAAACATTCATGATTGATGCCATATGCTTTGGCATCAGTGATGAATGCTTTGCCGTTTCATATCATTCAATTTCTTTGCAAATGCCTCTGATTTTATCATAGTCAGACGAAGGTAATTATCTGTGAAATAGGTATTACCTTAACCAATCTCTGTTTTCTCTTCATAGGACATCAGAGTTTGCATGTGACCTCTTAGTCCTCGCGCCCGTAAAGTTTCTCGCCTGTTTTACTTGGTTTGCTTTACTTTCGCTCAAGCATTTTATTTCTGTCCCGGCTAAAAGTACTTACACATGATATTATTTGAGCCCGGTAATGAGTGGCGGATCCGAGTCGCTCCGGCGCTGTTGTTTGACCGCAGACATTATTTCAGGAGTAGAGGCCGTGGCCACGCCGCAGGGAAGGTAGTAACGTGTTGGTAGACAAGACCATGTCTGGTTATATGACACGTTTGACTTGACAGGGGCTCTTAATTATCCCGTCATCCCGAAATTTCGCGTTCGGGTGGCTAACTTTAGAACCTGCCCGTTAAGCTTTACGCTGCTGGTTTTTGATCTGATAACGCTCACTGGTTTTAAACACAAAACTAAATTGATAAAAATATGCGTTTCACCTGGATAGGCCTTTCACCAGGCGTGTGGAAATAAACGCCTGGACCGCGACTTGTGCCGCTTTTCATCGTATAATCGCACACCGTCTCACAATAAACATGTTGCAGGGCTGGAGATGATGCTCTTCAGACTGCCTGCCTCAAGGGAGATGCCACAATATTCGCACTTCTTAAATCTAAGGTAAATGCTATCACCTATTTAAGTATTCCTCTATTGAATAAATGCTCAACTTGAAGTTTTTGTTTTGTATTGTGGAGCATTATTGTTGTTAAAAAGCTTCGCGCGGAAGCGAATACCGGATCACCTATCTAGGCTAGGTATCATAACTGTGATGGCTGTGCCAATTGATTGTGAATCATTGATATGCAGCTCTTTGTGTTATGTTTTTCATCGTTTTCTCTCAAACGTGTTATGGGTAGCATAAATCAAGCATCGACGGATGTTTCTTGTTTGCACTTCAATCGACGCCCTATTTGTTGGTATGCGTCGTAACCCGCCTCCGATGACGTCACAGGTGCAGTACAGCCAGGAGCGTCTGGCCGACGCCTACGAGCTGATCGGCGCCACGTTTGTCGACGAGAACCGCGACATCAAGACGGCACTGAGCTACTGGCGACAGGCGCTACTGATCCGCTACAGGGACCCCGAGAACCCCATCGTCAAGAGATTAGCTGAACCCAATAAGGTGAGAAGGCGATAGCCTGTCTGGATAAGATATTGGCGTGGTCGGTGGTGCAAGCAGTTTATGAAGAAGAAAAATATATGGAGAGGAGAGTAGTTTCATTCACAGGATCTAGTAGCCTTACTTTGATGATGGTTTAGTATTCCTGGTCCGTTTTTATGATCTAATAAAGACATCATCCGTTTCGTCGCTTTATATTTTTTGATTTGTGAAGTCACGCCGTTCCGTCACGCCGCTTCTGATGCAGTGTGTCTCTCACCGGTCGATGCAGGTGTACCTGAATCAGCTGGAGTTCTCGACGTTTGAGGAGCTGGACGACCTCCGTCTGGACTGGGACGCCGTCAAAATACAGAGCCTCATCGTCACCGAACGAGTCTTGGGTGTCACACACAAGGTGGGCTCAGGACTCTGCAGTTTTAAAACAGACGATGTGGAGGGCGTTGTCGGTTCAGTACCTTGTTATACAGTCTTACGTGTGAGGCCTCCCGCCTCAGTCAGTGATCCGTCACCAGTTAAACGCTCAGACATTCTCACTTTCCGTCTTCTCATATTAGGTTTTGCGCGGTGCTGTTTTAGTGAGCGAAACTTTAACGGTGCAGTTAGTGTTCGGCAATAACCAAAAGGCAAGCGCTGGCCGTACACCTGCACACGCCAACTTGATGAATCATTGTAGTGTGGATCAATGTTCAGTCTCACCCCGGTGTCCTGACCTGCCTGTCCCCTTGTCTACCTTTCAGGACATGACGTTCCGACTCATGTACCGGGGTGCCGCCTACGCCGACTCGCTTCTCTTCCAGCGCTGTATCGACCTGTGGCTGTACGCGCTCAAACTGCGTGTCCGCAGGGACCGCGTGCTGTTCCACGAGTCCTGCTTCACGGCTCAGGTGCGTCCCGGGATGGTCGATATTTGTTGGGGGTGTTTCCGCTGTAGATGGCTGTCAGTTTAGAGAGGAAGCTGGGTAGGGCAGATAGCATGTAGTCAACGCTCGGAAATTTAAGCTGTGTAGTGTGCAAATTCACATCCTGAAGAGTAAAGTCACTGCTTAGTTCGATGTTGAAGATAGGAATTTCCTTTACTTCCGATGACCCTACAAGACTATAGTGTGCTCCCACTGATCATCCCGCATCCCCACACCCTCCCCAGTACTTGTGTCTGTATAACTAACTCCCGTCAGGCCCGGGTACGTGCACCACTTACACTCCCCTGTATCCGCCAGGCCCTGGTACTCCACTAACACTCCCCCCCCCCCGTCTCCGCCAGGCCCTGGTACTCCATAAACACGCCCCCTGTCTCCGCCAGGCCCTGGTACTCCACTAACACTCCCCCGGCTCCGCCAGGCCCTGGTACTCCGCTAACACTCCCCCCCGTCTCCGGCAGGCCCTGGTACGTTTGCTGCTGGACGTTCAGGAGGAGCGTCACGGCGCCAGCGTCTCTCCTGACGTGCTGCAGTTCTGTGACGTCTCCGACACTCTGTCGGTGATCAGCTCCCAGATGGAGGAGGCCATCCGACTGGTGCAGCTGCGGCCCGTCTACCAGCGCCAGCAGAAGGACTTTGACGTGCTGCTGGTGACGCTCACCCGGCTGGTGTACCTGCTGCTGCACGTGCGCTGCTCCGACCAGCAGCGCCTGCACTGGAAGCGCCAGCTGTACCGGCTGCTGAAGCTCCGACCGCGCACCTGCGCAGAGGGCAACACGCTCCTTCACCTGGCCGTGTCGGCCAGCGTTCAGCCCAAGTCGCAGTTCGACGACGCCCTGGTGGGTGGAAAGGCAGAGTGGCCTGGAGGCTGATTATGAGAGCGGGGTCGATTAGTTTGGTGTTTTGAAGAGAGTGATTTTATTGTTTCTGACATTGCTGGGCGGCTATTGCTTAAATCTCAGTGGTGTCGCTCATCTAGGGTTCATTCCATTCTTACCCCTCCACTGTTCGCAGCACATTTTTGACACGCGGTTCAAGTCCCATGTTTCATCACGCCCCCCCCCCCGTCGTTCGGCTGCTCCTGACGCGCCTCTTTGTGTGCCGCTACCAGCCGGACATCTTTCCGAGCGCCGAGGTGGCTGCGGTTCTTCTCGAGTGTGGGGCCGATGTGGACGCCACCAACAACGCTGGCGTGACGCCGCTGCTGCTGGCGGCTCGCGGACCTATCTACGGGAACAGCGTGCACGCTCCACTCAACACCTCTACGGCGGCGGTAAGGGCCATGGGCCGGGAACTGGGGACGGGACGAATATACACTCCCGTCCTCCCAGGTCACCTGCTGGGGAGTGGGGACTTATCGCCTAGAGAAAGTGCCTCTTCGAATATCCAGATGTAAAACAGATTGGCCTAGCTCCCATTAGAAGCATCTTTCGTTTTGATAATTGCGCCTTACTGAGTACTTCTGCTATCGAAATTATTGATCAATTTCTGATAATACCTATCTATGTAGTTAATTGTTTTCGTCACGCCCCTCCCATCACTTAAGGCGGCCGCACACTAGGCCATTCGGCGGGCGACATTCCACAAAAACGTAATTCCGTAGCGACATTACGCTTTCGTGGACGCCGAATCAGCTGCTGAAACGACAAAATTACCAGCCGACCGGTGCCAGCCAGCTGTCCGCGGGTAGAGTGCGCATGCGCGCGGACAGCCGCGGAGTTGCGGAAAAAGCTGGACCGGTTCAGCTTTTTCCGCGGCGACGCCGCGGACACCCGAAATTGTGGAAATTGAAACTCACCAACTGTTGATGGAGCAGCCGAGAAATAGACTTACTTGATAAAGTATCGTAGCGGCAGTGACGGCACTTCTTTTCCCATATTAGATTGTTTTATACACTTCATTGGTTATTCTTATAGCAGGTTGCTATGTGCCTCTCCACAATTGTCTTTAGGTTTCTTGCATTTGTCGACAAACACGGCTGTTAACATTAATCAAGAGCTTTATTTTTTTTTGCAACTTCCTCCAGAAATTATGTCAAATTAATAGATATTCAAAACTTTATTTTACAGAAATATAACATAATATAGCATATTGTATTTGCTTAAATGTATTTAGTTTGCATTCGTTTATATTTATCATAAAATATTTCACATAAAGTTCCTGAAAATACTAAGTAGAAAATCGCACCGCCGAATGGTCCCGTAAAATGCTGAAAACAAGCGGAAAGCCGCTGTAGGAATGTCGCCGGCGACATTCCGCTTTTGCGGAATCTGCCCGCCGAATGGCCCAGTGTGCGGCCGCCTTTAGTCATGACTTTTCTAATCATCGCCTTTTCTCATCATCCCCTCCCCTCGCCATCCCTCTGCCTCATTGTTTACCTCTGTCTTCACTCTACCCCTCTGACGCTCTCCCCTCCCGCAGGTGGTTAACGTTCTTCTGGAGGCCGGAGCGCACGTGGACCGTCGCGTGGGCCCGCGTAAACGGGACGCGGCGCACCAGCTGCTCGATCTGGCTCGCCACCGCTACTGCCGCGTGCAGCACGCGCCTCTGCGCTGTCTGGCGGCGCGCGTGGTTAGCAGGTGCGTGCCGCCGTCGGCCGTGCCGTCTCAACTGCGGCCCTGGGTCAACCAGCACTGAGCGGCGGGCTGGAGAGGGGAGGTGGGTAAGTGGGGAGGTCAGAGGACGGGGTGAGGTCGGAAAGAGGAAGAGAGCGCTCGGCGTGTGGCGGGGTCGGTCTCCTTTATGGCGGAGACGAGTTTGCGGACTGAGAAATCTTTGATGCTGGCTTCGAAAACGTTCGAAGGCACGGCAGGAAGTTCAAGGCGAATCAAGGCAATACGGGTGGGAGCTGCGATTGGGCGATCACCGGGACACAATCTTTCAAAAATGCCGTTAGAAGGATTTGGCAACACTAGCTGAAGTTAAGGTGGTAAAAAACGGCTGGTAAAATCAAATCGTTTTCTGCACATTTCAGGCTATAGTATATAATCGTTCCCAGGAATCGCTGTTTACTCGGATACGTATTTGCAAACACGGATATTATTACACATGTTATCAAATGTCGTGTATGAAAAAGAACGGCATTTTATAAGATTGGGCCGACAGCCCCTCCCCGAAGCTGAGTGAAGTGATTATATGCAGGATCTTGAGCACGGAGATCTGTCGATCAGGAAATAAAGGCAGTGCGGTTGGGAGTGATTGGGCGAACCTGGGTCCGTGCCGCTTTCAATAAGTCAGATGAATGTTGGTGGCGCAATCGTAGCGCTCACTGATGTGTGAGTCACACCGTGACCCCTTGATGTGTTGATTGGCCGGTCCGTTAGAGAGCATTACTTTGGACTTGTTTCATGTGGCCACACTAGGGAGGAATGGTCTATCCCTGCAACATTTCCGCGCCTTCCATAAATCTATGCTACTCATCGTTGTACAGTGAAGCACGCTTCGACGATTTGGAGAGTGTAATGTACTTTGTAAAGCGGGCCCTTCCTTGGTGCTCATCTTAGTTAAGTAATTTAGTACTAGGAAGGCCGTTCGGGTCGCCAGACGACTTCGGGGCGCTTGTTGGGTCAATATAGAGCGCCAGGTCACAGTCAGGTCAAAGTCGATCGGGCGTCATGTTAAAGGTCAGCGGGGCGCGAAGTCAATATAAAACCTGGTTACGGCTGATGCACTAGAAAGCGACGTAACAGTAAAATCCTCTTCCTATCCCGCTGTCCCTTTCTTCCGTTGATGAATGCGTTTGTATGTGCATTATCAGCGTATTGCTCCAGTCTGAGTGGGCGCTCCCAGTGCTACTACTTAGTGTGGCCAGGCTCAGCGCTTGTGTCGACCACCCGCGGCCATCGACGCTACTGGGTCGTTCCCTGATAGAGCTTGTGCGTCGCTAGAGGCTCGGGTTCTCTTACTCCTGTGTGTTCAGCTGTAACTTTCGCGGCGAACTGTGGAAGGCTTTGGTTCTGTTTTGAAGCCGTCGTGACCTGTGACGTGGTATCCTACCGAGAGACGGACGTCATTCGCTGTCGCGGCCCGCAGTTTTTCTGTTTTGTCTCTGGTTGAAGCGTAGGGTGTCTTGCCTCGAACGTGAACGTGTTTCCGTGTGCTATTTGCAGTGGGACACAGGGATAGGTGCTTCCCTGGACCGGGCTGGGCTGGGTGTTTTCGATGTTCTCTGAACCGTTCATATCGTGCTCTATTTTGAAAGTGTGGCTCGCCGTTCGTTCGCGCGGGCACCATCTGCGGTGCACCGCTGGTGAAGGAGAGGCTTATGAATGAGTCTTACGGAGTCAATGTATATCATATATATTCCCCGTGATGTGTTCCCGAAACTCACAAATAAAGGACTCACGCCGAAAATACGTATTTTGTTGTAAAATGTATATCTATTCGTTGACAAACCGTCAAGAGCCTTCTTAAATTTAATCACGACTTACATGCCTACGACTCAAAGCTAATAAAATAGACGACCGCGCCCCATTCGAACCATAAAATCTCGTGGCTCAGCATCTAACACAACCATAAAAGTGACGGTTAGCAACGGCCTCGTTTACCCAGCTGCCGCACCGTCGCGTTACCTCCCTGTGTCGCACTGCGCCGCACCGCTGCGCCCCAAACAGGCTGAGCGCAAAGACCACGAGTTCAGCGCACTCAACAATCACAGAAGACCGGCGTCGGCGCGTCGGATCAGCGCGCACAAACGAGAAGAGTCCCTGGCGATCGGCCGGAACGCACAACCGCAGCACCGAATCGAAACGTGGGCTCGACCTGGTTCCCAGACAGCCGTCAGGACGGTGTCTGTGCCTCCCAGACAGGACCGGAACGGTGTCTGCGCCTCCCAGACAGGATCGGAACAGTGTTTGTGTATCAGTCCTCACGGGCCGTCAGAAACAAAAAGACAGCGGAAGTTCGACACAAAGTCTGATATCGAACGACTACCTTGCGATTGCGAATCTTAAAAAGACGTTGTAAACCATAAATTTATCAAAACACATTATCGGGTTTTCGCGATCCATTACACTCCCTAATGATTCATCCCAGGAAAGCCACCAGCGTAAAACAAATCAACATTCTTTGAAACGCAGAGTGGTATTTACAAAAGGCACTAATTTAGCGCCAGCGTCATGTCTCCTTCGTCTTTTTGTCTCTACCTCCCTCCTATATCAACAGCCATCTACATGTCTACCCCTCCACTCCCTACGCTCCTACGGCAAGAGCCAGGAGGGCGGCCAGGGTGAGCGCGGCGGCTGCTGCCGCTCCCGGCGCCGCTGCGCCCACCAGCACGGGCAGCTCATCGACGATGTGCAGCTGCCAGCCCATGTGCGGCCGGCTGTAGCTGTGGTAGTAGACGGTGGCCGGCCACGTGTTGTTGGGCGTCACCTCGAGTACGGCCGCCTCGCCGCCCTCGCAGTGCAGCCGCAGAGAGTTGCGGAACCGCTTGAAGTCGCTGAAGTCGTCGTCCAGCCGCCGGTCGCCCGTGTCCTGGTGTTTCCACACGCAAAGCCGACCCGCTGCGGTGACAGAGGTAACGGTCACAACGAGGCACAGTGTGTCAGCACTTCTGCAGCTTTCGCTAGGAGTTGAGCAGTGCCACGGGACACCCTTGCTTCTGGGCTAACATTTCAAATAAATTGCGTGTTGCTAAACCAATTTTGATCGGAGTAAACGGCACATTTTGATGAAATATACCTAAGGCGACATGAAAACTTGTAAGGCTTTGGTCTGCAGGATTCTTAAAAGTAGTATTTGTGCTAATTAGGGTTTATGCCCTTTAGTTATGGCCCTTCACCCGCTCTTGGCTGGGGTTTCTCTTCTCCGAAACAACTCCTCACCTGCAGTGGGCTGGGGTTTCCCCCGTTTAATCTATATCTCACCTGCAGTGGGCTGGGGTTTCCCCCGTCTGGTGAACTCCACGCCGGCGAGCACGCGGATCTCCCTGCGCGCCTCCTCGTCCAGCTGGCCGTAGCCGCCCACCGGGTCATCTGGTGGCAGTTGGAGAGAGTCAGGAGGGGTTCGTCGGCAGTTGGAGAGTCAGGGAGGGCCCGGCGGCAGTTTGAGAGAGTCAGGTCATCCGGCGGCAGTTGGAGAGAGTCAGGGAGGGTCCGGTGGCAGTTGGAGAGAGTCAGGGAGGGTCCGGCGGCAGTTGGAGAGAGTCAGGGAGGTCCGGCGGCAGTTGGCGACAGTGATGGGTCGTCCGGCGACCGAGACAGGGATGGTCCGGCGACAAGGACTGGAGTCATCTGATTCTGGTGAGCGTTGGGAGACAGTCAATGGTGGCCCGGTGACAGGGACTAGTGACAGTTGGTGTCGGTGATCGCCAGTCAGCGTCGTAAGAAGACAGTTCGTCAGGTCGCACAAACTCTGTGGTTCACCTGAGTCCTGACCTGTCGAATGCTCGAATGTCAAAAGAGACACCGTCTCGCCTGCTCGGGGCCGTCGCTGCCCAGAATCACACTTTCCCAGAATGTCAGATTGACACTCTCGGCTTCAAGAAGCTCTCGTAATTCTGACACCTCAGTTGAACACAGCTGATTCTCCCCACAACAACACTTAAAACTGGCCTAATTTGCCTCCCCTCCGTGCTCCGTCACCTACCTGTGATGATAAACGGATGGTAGAACTCGGGATCTGCCGGGTTCTTCCCGCCTTCCACCAGAAACTTGTAGGTTTGACCTCGCTTCAGGTAGATCTCGGGCACCAGATACCCGTGTAGGTACCAGGCCAGGCTACTGGACAGCTGGCCTGTGAGGCACAGCGGCATCGGGTCAGTCGTAGTCGCGCGGGTAGTGGTGGCAGGTCACATACAAAACATGGGGTTTGTGGGATACAACACTTTTTGCACCACCGTCGACTTAAATTGGTGAAGTGGACTCCATTCACTCATTTGTTCGGTCCGTGCACACTTCTGATAACTTGTCGTATATGAGCGTAAAATAAAGTTATGTTTTTGGTGATTCGTGACAAGGTGCGTCTGTCGCATCGGCACAAGTCGTAACTTGGCGTTGTTAGCTACATCTCATCATGAAGCATCTCTGAAAAAAAGTTGACCAATGTACTTCTGTTTAGTTCAGTCCGTCGGGGACGCTTCATCCCGAAGAACACTCCCAGAGAGCGCTGTGCCTTTTCGTTACTGACCTGTCGTTCCCGTGAATCCCCTTCGTTACTGACCTGTCGTTCCCGTGAATCCCCTCATGCCGCCCGAGGGTCCCAGCCGGGCCGTGATCTTCTGGATGTTGATATCCGAAAAGTGGAACGGTCCCCAGGGCTTCCTGTAACGCACATATTGAATAAACGTAAAAATAAGGGCGACGAGGTAGGTGATAATATTAGGCAAAGACGGCGAAGGTGAGGAAATATTGCACAAATATAGTCTCCGAGCCATCCTCAAATCGTCCACAATGACTTCACCGGCCGACGGTGACCGTACGTCGTACCGTTTGGGGTGCTGTACAGATGTGAAGGCCTGGCAGTTGAGCTCCTCCGGCTTCCTGTTGAAGTTGATCTTGATGTTGTGTTTGGGGTAGAGCCGGTGGAAGGTGGGCTTCAGGTCCTTATCCAGCTTTCCGATGGCCCAGATGATGTAGGCACCCTCTGTGTCGCTGACGAGAATATCTCCCTCATCCCCTGAGAACGTTGGATTCAGCGTAAATAAATGGGTTGAGGATATCGAAACAGTTATAGCATTGGAAGTGAAATAACCGAACAACGATAGAACACTTGACATCATCGATGCCGCTTGGTGCTTATATGTACAGAGTAAACAGAATTTGTAAAACACAGTTATTAAAATGCGCGACACTCACTCGTATCGAAGTCCCTGCGGAACTGGAAGGAAGTGATGCCGTCCTCTCTGGAGCGCGATGTGAACTGGAAGTTGCTGAGGCCGCCCACCTTCTCGTCTGGACATACTCCCTTGAAGACGTCCAGCACCTTGAGGCACTGCAACGGCGAGCGCGGTCGTCAATTAACAGCACAGGTTCTCAGGGAGAGTCCTGACAATGTGCCGAATCGTTAGCAATGACACAAGGATTGAAGCCCAGTACTGATATGACATGTAATCTATAAACGGTCTCTACTTTCGTCGTTAAAATAATGTGGGGTTTAGCGGTCATGCGGGATACCACTGGTAAATCTCAGGACACTGTCACCGGTCAGGGCTGAGCAGTATGCCCGGCTCCAGTGGCATCCGTTGCGTCCCGGAGAACGCGTCAACATTGACATAGTGACTCACTCATCCAGTATGTTTCTGTGACCGCATGCACGACATGTGGCAGATGCATGAACGATCGCCGCAGAGCTGAGTCATGTCACTCCCTCACTCTCCCTCCTCTGCCCTTCCCTCCTCCTCTTTTCCCTCCCCTCCCCACGTACCGGCAAGTATGCCGTCAGAGTAGGTACAGTCCTCGATGAAGGTCAAATAATCCTTTTCCTCCCCTTCCCATTTCTTCTCTCTCTTTCCCCCCCTCTCTCTCTCTCTCTCTCTCTCTCTCTCTCTCTCTCTCTCTTTCCCCCCCTCTCTCTCTCTCTCTCTCTCTCTCTCTCTCTCTCTCTCTCTCTCTCTCTCTCTCTCTCTCTCTCTCTCTCTCTCTCTCTCTCCTTCTCCCCTCCCCTCCCTTCCTCTCTCCTCCTCTCCCCCTCTCTCCTCCCTACGTACCGGCGAGTGAGCCGTCAGCGCGCCTCTGTGAATTACCCCGTTTACATGAGTCAGCGAAAATGACGTTTAGAACGGATATTTCCGTTTAGCGAAAAGTGCGCAAGTTTCGACTCATGTAAACTGGTTTGGGCGCGCAAAAATGACGATTACGCGGAACGGAAATATCCGATGAATTAATGGGAAATATCCGTTTAGGACGTCAGGCCTAAACGGATTTTTTGCGCATCTAGCAGAAAATGACATGAATATGCATGTTTTATAGATGAAATTTTTTAGTTTACACATCAAAATACATGTTTATGTTGAATGGTAGGTCTAATGACAATGAAATCCACTTTTTGCCCCTGATTTCGCGCCATTGTGGCAGATTCATGAAGTACCTACATAAGTGTTGAGAGGAACGTCCTATGCTTCAAAACGGAAGCATTCTAGTTGAGGGGTAATTTCCTTATTTCTTAGATTCAACAATCAGGGTTCAATTCCAGGGCAACCAACATAGCCTTCCCAGCCAGTCGCTCCCTATAGCCACTTGGAACAGCATGGTAGTGCCATTTAGTGCTTAGTACACTGGATATGATGCTTGATTTATTTTGCTTTAGTACATGCTCCCAAAAATGTTCTCTACCTAGGTACTGCAAACTTCCTAGCAGTGATTCAGATAACTTATGCTTCAGCGAACAGCCACCAGACGGCAGGGCACGCAGGCTGGTTGAGACAGGAACTTGGCTGCATGCCAAAATATACACAAGACACACAGCCAAATTTACTCAGTGACACTGCCATCTGCCCCCCCCCCCCACCAATATTTAAATGTTCTTAGATAATTGTTCCAAAGAAGTAGATTCTTCAGTGGTGGGAAGGCCTCTGAAAGTTTGGTTAATCTCGGATGGTGGAAGCAGGTAGGTACCTGGCAAGTTTTGTGGAATTTGTAGAATCATACCTAACCTTACCTACCAACCTAACTTTCAACCTACCATCCTTCAAACACACCTACATGCCTACAACCTATCATACCAAACTACTTCCTACCAATCTACAAGGTCAACCAACCTACCAAACCACATAGGTACCACTCGGACTTCATCTTCACATCTTACCTGGTGTGATTGAGAGTGGATTATTCTATGCATTTTGAAAATTGCACTGATAGTGTCTCAAAGTTTGGTGGTGAGTAGATGTAACTTCTGATATGAATAAAACACATGGAACTGATGGATCCTGTGTTGCACTCGACAGTCAAGCAATGCAATGCACAGCACAGGTCACATCTACTACACAATTCACCTAGTACTGATCTGACCCCTGCCTTTGAAGAACTGAGCAGCTAAAAGCAAAACATGAAAATAAAGTGCTGGAATATTCAAGTGCTTCAAATGTGTTAACCAAAATGTATGCACAATCCCGCACCACCCACTTTCATACCAATGTTTTCTGAAGTGTGGCACCATCCTGCACATCCTTTCATGCATTTTCATTTTGTCAACTTACTGGAGGTCAATCATGATGATCTATGACTATTATGAGCTGTCTTAGCCTTTTTCTGAAACCAAAAAGACTTTCAATATAGATGTGCGCTTCAATGTTGTCCAAGACCTCAATTGTTTTCTTGCTTTCTGACAGTTAATCACGCTTCTTTTACAGCACACAAGTAAAATAATGGCTTGTGCCATGATTATTTCTAATTCTACATACAAAACTTAAAAGAATCAAGTAAATTAAGCCTAAAACAAGCACAAATAATGCTTGATAGGAGCTGCGCCAGACATGTAAAAATGCGCAAAATATCCGTATTTTTCGGGCTGCCGGCGTAAAGGGAATTATCCGTTCCGGAACGGATTTTTCCGATAAGGCTCATGTAAACGGGGCCACCGAAACGCATTTTTCCGTTCCCTGGCTAATCGGATATTTCCGTTTAGGCTGAATGACTCATGTAAACGGGGTAAATGTCAGGTGCTCCCCCTTCCCTCTGTCTCTCCTCCCCCTCCCCTCTCTCCCCTCCCCTCCCCTCTCTACGTACCGGCGAGTGGGCCGTCAGCGTATAGTCCTCGGTGAAGGTTAGGTAGTCGTTGATGTAGGCCACCACGGCATCACCGCCCAACATCTGGGTCTTGGTCTGGGAGCCGCTGAAGCCAAAGGCCACGTACTCGTCCTCCTCTGGAGCGAGCAGAGGTTAAAGGTCAAAGGTGAGAGGTAGGGGGAGGGCACAGTTGACGCTTCTCGTGGTTGATGGAAAAAAAATGTCTCTTTACAAACTAATCCATTAAATTAGTCAATAGTCCTCACACATGCCGTCTGTCATCCATGGTCCGCTTATCACTTCAGCTAGCACGAGCGAGAAGCTGAGCTCCATCTCCCTCAAAACCTGCCCCAAATGAAAAGCAAACTGCAAACATCAGCCTACAATGAAAATATGTATAAAGCAACATTCGCCATGCCCCATTTGGCTACAAATCAGTTGGCGATATGTCAATAGGTTGAATCTTTTCAAATAATGACATGCACGTGATACGTTTTTGCGTTGCATGAATGTATGCTGCATTATTTTGATAAAGTTCTTTGTGGGTGATAAGATCATAGGTACACTCCTGTGGGCCAGGACAGTTATTGATGCTGCAGCCACACCTTCGGGAGTTGACCTTGGACAAATAACGGACGTGGTTAGACCACTTATCCACCGAAGTAACCGACCCATGTTAACAGATTCGCGTCAAACAACTGGTAACCTAACGGGATAGAGCCAACCAATGCTCTCGTCAGATGACGGAGCGCACTGGAACCAGAGGACCAAGGAGACCAACTGAGACAGTATCGAGCTGCCGGGGACCAACTGGACCAAGTGTCATATGGCACGGAGCCTGACCACATACCTAACCCAGCGGACCAATTACACTGAATTATACCGCGGGGGAGGGGCAGTAGACCAGCTGGCGCCGAACTATCGGTCCCTGGTCCACGAGCCTCAATCGGGGCGCAGGAGCGGTACGTACCGATCTGGGCAGCCAGTTCCATGGTGATTGAGGGGCCGTGCGTGGACCAGCGGATCTGCAGGTCCTTGTGCAGCTGTTCGCAGTTCGGGAACTTGGTCTTCATCGGCTGTGAACGGGCGGGGTGGGTGGTGTGAGATGGGGCCGCAAAGGAGAAAGAGGAAGGGAGAGAGAGAGGAGAGAGAGGGAGGGAGGGAGGAAGGGAGAGAGAGAGGAGAGAGAGGGAGGGAGGGAGGAAGGGAGAGGGGGAATGAAGAACGAGGGAGAGAGAGACAGAGACAGAGAGAGAGAGAAAGAGAGAGCACGGGCGTAGGAACGTCATGAAAAGTGGGTGGGCCACCCTGTCAAGGGGCCTCCTTTTCCAGGGGGCCTCCTATTTTCAGGGGCCTCCACTTTTGCCTCATCCTGCTGGCTGCTTTCAAGTATGACCTCCAAATCTAGCTTCTGAGATCAGGCAGATGTACCCAGGGGCGTAACCGCTAAAGCGAACAGTGCGGAAAGTCCGCACCATTTTTAAAACTTCTTTCCCCTCCGATTTTCGATTTTTTTTTTAGAATCTATTTGCCGCAAACGGCGCATGACCCCTGAAAACCCTTACACAAATGTCTTCCTCGTTTCCCAGGTGCCCCCATTAGCTTCATAGGCGCCCTCTTTGGTAAGCGCCCTATGTGCCTATAGTCATCAGAGACATCCCTATATGTCCCACAGTCGCCCCGTTGTCGCATACAGGGTGACACAAAAAAGGTCATCACCAAATTTCGAATAACTTCGGAAGTCTTGTTCAGATCATCACAAAACTTCGGCCACTTAAGGTCACACCTATGTAGCATACATCCACCAAGTTTCAAGTCTTCACTACGAATACTTTTAGTACAGTGTGTGTTTTACTGACGCTCCACAATGTGCTCCAGGTGAGCGCCACGGCGCTGCAGGGCGTAGGCACACTTGCATCCGGCGGGCAAAGTTGTCGATAACCCGATGGCTGTGCACTTTACAGAGTGCAATGGCCTCTGGAGACAGTGCTCAGGGGGTGTGCTACCCCTGAAACGTTATTCTTATCGGGTTATCGGCAACTTTGCCCGCCGGATGCAGGTGTGCCTACGCCCTGCAGCGCCGGGGCGCTCACCTGTAGCACATTGTGGAGCGTCCGTAAAACATACACTGTACTAAAAGTACCTATTCGTAGTGAAGACTTGAAACTTGGTGGATGTCTGCTACATAGGTGTGACCTAAAGTGGCCGAAGTTTGGTGATGATCTGAATAAAACTTCCGAAGTTATTCGAATTTTGGTGATGACCGCTTTTTTGTGTCACCCTTTACAATGTGCGCTTATCATAGGCGTCTCTCTTTTATGGACAGTGGACACTTGAAGGCGCCTCTCTTTGCCATGCCGGCGCCCCTGTTTCTTATGAATGCACCCCCATGGCATTGATCAATTGCAATTTGCAGACCTCTATTGCATGTGGACGCCCATATATGTAGGCCTCAGAGGCGCCCCTCTTTCGCATTGAGGCGCCCCTATGGGCTTCATAGGCGCCCCTCTATTGCACGTAGGTGCCCTACTGTCTCAGAACCGCTCCCCTTTGGCATGCAGACGCCCATCTTTCGTACGGAGGAGCCGCTGTGGTTCTTAGAGACGGCATGGTGCTCCCAGACGCAGATGGGACCCTAGGAGTCGACAGTGTGGGACCTTCAGTCGCTGATGGGTGCCCGCCAGATGTGGACCCTCGGAGACGCCGGTATGGGGCCCTCAGAGATGCCGGTATGTGGCCCTTAGAGACACCGGTGTGGAACCCTCAGATACTTCAGTGTGAAGCCCTTACAATTACTGTTGTGGAGCTACGAATGCGCTGGCTTAAATCCCTCAGAGGCCGGTACATGGACATTAGAGCCCAGTGAGAGTTTGTGTGGTGCCTTCAGTGGCCTTGTGGAGCCGTTAGACATCAACATGGTGCTCTCAGGAGCCGGTGAGTCCTCAGAGTCACCGGTGTGGGGCCTTCAGAGCTCCGAGATACTGGTGTGGGGCCCTCAGAGGTGTCAGTGTGGGTCCTTCAGATGTACATATAGAGCCTTGAGATGCACAGGTGTGGTGGCCCACAGAGGCGCCGGTGTGGGGCCCCCAGAGCCACCGATATAGGGCCCTAAGAGACACTAGTATGACCCTCAAAGGCGCCGCTGTGTGGCGCTCATAAACACTGGTGTGGAGCCATCACAGGCGGGTGGAGCCATTAGAGACCGGAAAGGGCCCTTAGATGCCTACAAGGAGCCTTTAGAAGCCGGCGTGGCACCCTTATGGGGATAAGCGTGTCTACTTAAAGGGACTATCCCACCTTTAACATGGGGTTTGAGTTGAGATAGCCAAGTTTGCGGCGAGGTTCAGAAACCACTATCTATCTAGGTTGCAACCCCCGCGGCCTCTTGGTGCTGAAGAAATTCGTTCCCTTTATTTGAAAATGGGCCTTGTACAAGGCCCTATCTTCAAAATGGAGCGACCGTTAGTGTGACGTCACCTCGTTTAGTCATTCTGATTTAAATGGGTTTGTTCGTTGAAAAATCGCTTAAAACTTGGTCTGAACTTTGTTGTGGTGCCTACAGAGTAAAAAGAATCAGCTTTATGACAGTAATGTGGCCTGGGGAAGGAGGTAATTTTGGGCTGTGACGTCACATATTTGAAAGTTTGTGTTTGGAATATGGGAAGCCTAAGATGTTTAATGAAAAATAAATGTCAGAACCGTGTTCCTGGTCATCCAATCTATAAAGTCGGGCACAATTTAACTGGTTTTAACAACATTTTAGAAGGTGGGATAGTCCCTTTAAAAGCCCTTGAGGTGCTCTCATGAGCTCTGTGGGGCCCTACCTAGCCGAAATATGGCCACGGCCAGTTGCCGCCGCATGGCTCTTCAGACTATCATTCTCAGGGGCCTCATCTGCCTAGTTTGAATAGAAGGCAGTGGCGGCGCCACGAATTTTCGCCAGTGGGGGCAAGATTGAGGTGACCCGACTGTTGTATGATACGCCGATCTGCAAAATCCATGAGCACCTTGCCCCTAGATGTTGCTATTCAAAACTATTATGGTTTCAGGTTTCATGCATACGTATTGAGCTGAACCATTAACCCTCGCGGGCCCGCGCGGAAGAGAGGGGGGCGTTTTCGCCTCCCCCTGGCGAATATTTGCGGTACCTCACGAACGCTTAGGGATAGAAAGCTAAAATTTGCTGTACCTTATCACCCATTAATTTAACATTTTTTTGAAGCAAAAAAATTGGACATAGTCTCCTTGATAACGTCTCAGGGCCGATTTCTCTAGGCAAACTTCAGCGCCACAGACGTGAACTTCAACCACCTGCCAAAAATAGAGTTTTAGAGATAAAGACAAATTACGAGCGTGGTTGTGTAGCATTTGACCGAGAAAAAAAATACTTAAGTAACTTTGGTGACCTGAGGTCAGAGATCAGGTCAACGACCCCGAGCTGGGGCTTTAGTTTTTTCGCAAATAACTTCAACAAAAATGATGGTCCTAGAGCTACGGCAGTGGTATCTTCGCATTCGTCTCGTCGAGTCGCGTCGAATGACATATACATTGTTTTGAAAAGGTCAAGTTTTATGTTGACCTCATGTGACCTCGAATGACCTTTGGTTGACTTTGACACATGAAAGGTCGTTTGTGATTATTTCGTAGCCGCTGATCACGATTCTGGCATCCATTTTGCTCTAAGCGTAAGCATTCGTTTAGAGCCTCAGGGTGGCAAAACGTGTCTTAATATAGGTATTATGCCTGACTTGAATAAGTGAAAGAGAAAAAGTATGAGAAAATGTGCGAAGTTTGTGGCCAATTTTGAGCATGACCGTGACCTTGAATTTGAATGTTATGCACATCATGGGAATTCCAGACTCTCGTCTTCGTTTAACATCTGCATTTTAGCCGGTTTTATGAACCATGCCGTCCGCTGGAACACGTACTTTGAGACCACTATACAAAAGTGCCGGTTTTTGCCTTTGACATTGACTTCTGGCCTTAAAAATTTACCTGAGGTCAAAAGGTTTAGGGGCTTTAAGAATCTTCTCGTAGATATCTTTCATTTGGTACCATTTTTGTTTACGTAGCTGCCTTATAGCTATCAGTTTGGCTTTAAGGAGAACCATTCGACTGACTTGGCCATATATGCTCTAAAGGAGGTCACTGATTACTTTCTGCGAAACAGAAGTCCTGTATTTCTTTGTTTTCTTGACGCCCGCAAGGCATTTGATCGTGTAAACCACTGGACACTTTTTGCGAAGCTGTTAGAAAGGAAAATGGATATTCATCTGGTAAAATTGCTCTGTTCGTGGTACAAATCACAACAATTTCATGTGTTATGGGGCGATGAGCTATCAGAGGGATTTACAGTGTCGAATGGCGTAAGACAGGGGGGCATTTTATCTCCTTTTTTGTTCAATGTGTATACTGATGATTTATCAATGCTTCTCGCACAATGTGGTTTTGGGTGCCACTTTCACGGTAGCATAAATCACCTGTATTATGCAGACGATATGGTCCTTCTTTCTCCTTCGACGTATGGACTACAGAAAATGCTGGATCTTTGTGTTACGTATGCAGATGGTCATGATATTAAGTTCAATACGAAAAAGACCGTGTGTATGACAATTCTTCCTAGGAATTTCCGAGAACTGTACGTACCGTCTGTCACTCTTGGTGGTAGTGAATTGAAGTTTGTGGACTCGTACAAGTATCTTGGATTTCAGCTTACTAACAAAAGCACCAGGGCTGATGACATGGAAATTCATCAACAATACCGTAATTTGTGCTGTCGTGCGAATTCTTTGAGTCGAAAATTTGCAATGTGTTCATACTCTGTTAAGAAGTACCTGTATACTACCTACTGTTCAAATGTCAGTTGTATGCACCTTTGGCACTCCTTTCATGCATCTGTTCTAACGAAATTCAAGGTGTGTTTTAATAATGCTGCCAGGATGTTTCTAGGCTACGATAGGTTTTGCAGTGCGTCTAATATGTTTGTTCAGGAGTGTTTACCTGGCTTTGACGCGCTGTATCGTAGATCAGTGTGGAACTTTGTGTCACGTCTTGCACGATCTTCCAACAGGATTGTGTTGTCATTATTCTTTAGTGACTTGGCCTACACTTCCTTGATAAGGAAAGCATGGTCTAAGAGCTTGTATGGAAGTTGAGATTGTGTTATATTGGGCCTTGGTGCCCTAGCTGAGTGATGCCTCGTTTATGGACCTAGAGTCTGCCAATAAAGGGATCTCTCTCTCTCTCTCTCTCTCTCTCTCTCTCTCTCTCTCTCTCTCTCTCTCTCTCTCTCTCTCTCTCTCTCTCTCTCTCTCTCTCTCTCTCTCTCTCTCTCTCTCTCTCTCTCTTATTTACGGAGTTAGACAGGTGGGGGGAGGGGGGATACCCCCGGGCTGCGGTGGTTGGGATTACCCCCGGGCCCGGCCGGGTTAAAAGGTCGCGAGCAAATAAAACTATAAAACTAGATTGCGAGACACAAACCTGTGAAAACGTTATGTTGTTCGTTGAGATGTAAAATGGTGTATTCCTCCAAACAATAGTTAGTAGGTACCTAGTTCTCTTTTTTCCCGTAGTACGTATGTATATGTGCGATTCTCTCACACACGATTGATACCAGAATAAGCTCCATTAGGGCGACCCACACACATTTACAGATAACCCGGATATACATACCCATCACATTTTGTCATACCTTCCTGAGCTCAGTCTCAGTCTAAGGTTTCCCAAAAGATCTCTTCTCTGGCCGACTTTTGACAAGCTGCCTCTCAACCTCCTCGAGGTCAAGCTCGAGGGCAGCCTTCTGGTGCAAATGAAAAAGAGTAGAAGAATGAGTGGGAGTAGGAGATATGAGACAGACGGTCCGAGAACGAACGTTTTGCTGATGCACTTGATACGGGGACGGTCAAAAACAGGCGTACTATTATGTTATTAACCGCCATAGGTGGGCACGATCCGTTCCTCCGTTCCTCCGTTCCGGAACGACGTTACAATTTTTAGGAACGGAGGAACGGACTCGTTACATTTTAAAAAGGGTAACGGACTAAGTAACTTCCGTTACATTGGTTGTTCGTTCCTCCGTTACACTTTACAGTTTAGTCCGTTCCTTCGTTCCTCCGTTACTTTTCGTTGTCCGAGCGGGTTGATCTTTCAGCTAACCCACAGACAATAATGCAGCTGCAGCAGCGGAATAGTGGATTATTGAGCAGCCCTGACTTGAAGACGGAAGATGGCCTCAGTGCACTGGCCTTCCGCAATGAACCGGCGTTGCAGTATGTGTTCGCAAAGCTCAACACGGGCGTCCCTTCAAGCGCCTCAGTAGAGCGCATGTTCTCAACGGGAAAAGATGTGTTAAGTGCAAAAAAAGGCTACCCTCTCAGAAAGTGGAAGCGGAACATCTTCAATTAAGGGAGGGGGGGGGGGGGCACTGCCGACTTTTGGTCCCATTCTTTCCATGCAACGCACATAGGGCTAATGTTAAAATGCCAAAATCAAAGGGAGGCACGGTGCGCCGGTGCCCCCCTCCCTCTCCCGTTCCGCCGCCTATGCTCTCAGATGCCAACCTGGAACGTTTAGTGTTCGTGAAGGGTAACCGGCATCTGGCCGGGGACAAGTGATGCGTATCAGTTCCTCCCACCAGACGTTCCAAGGTTTAGTGTCCAATCAGTGCCCGCTGTCTTGGTAGGTTTGGTGGGCATTCCGCTTTCTCGGTAGGTTTAGTTTGTGTCAGAATGGTCTCAAAAATGTGTGAAATACACAACATTTTAAGTTTTTTATTTTGCTGTAACGGAGTAACGGACTAAAGGAACTTCCGTTACATTATATGCAGAGGAACGGAGGAGCGAGTAACGGAAGTCACGTTTTGAAGGAACGGAGGAACGAGTAACGAAGTTACAATTTTGGGGAACGATGCCCACCTATGTTAACCGCCTATCATGAATGTTGCACCGGTCTTCTGTTCCCTTTTCAACATCAGCCAAATTTTGTGGGGGAAAAAACATAGTCTTGCCCCCACGGCCTCCTGCCAGTGGGGGCAGTCTGCCCCCACTGCCCCCACGGTGGCGCCGCCCTTGATAGAAGGGCCTCTCAGACCATCAGTCTCATGGGCCTCCTCTGGCTAGTATAAATAGAAGGGCCTGTTAGACCATCAATCCTAGGGACCTCTTCTGGTTAGCATAAATAGAAGAGCCTCTCAGACCATTAATCTCAGGGGGCCCCTGTGGACAGTATAAATAAAAGGGCCTCTCAGACCATCAGTCCCGGGGGCCTCCCTAGAAAAGTGTAAATGTGGATAGAGGGCCCCCTCAGATTCATTACGAGTGGACCTCTCTGACTATCAGTCTCAGGGGCCTCTTGTGGCCAGTATGCATATAAGAGCCTCTCAGACCATCGGTCTCAGGGGCCTCTTCTGACTAGTGTGGATAGAGGGCCCTCCCAGACCACCGGTTTCAGGGGCCTCCAGTGGCCAGTTATAAAAACAGAAGGGCCTCACAGCCATCAGCCTCGGGGGCCTCTTCTGACTGGTGTAAATATGAGGGCCTCTCATACCATCAGTCTCAGGGGCCTCCTCTGCCTAGTGTGAATATAAGGGCTTCCCAGGCCATCAGTCTCAGGGGACTCTTCTGACTGGTGCCGGATTGAGGGACCTCCCAGACCGAAAGTTTTGAGGGTCTCCTGTGGCCAGTATGAATAGAAGGGCCTCTCAGTCCATCAGTATCATGGGCCTCTTCTGCCTGGTGTGATTATAAGGGCCTCTCAGGTCATCAGTCTCAGGGGCCTCCTCTGACTACAGTGTAGATGGATAGGCCTCCCAGACCATCAGTCTCAGGGGCCTCTTCTGACTATTGAGGATAGAGGGGCCACCTCTGACTAGTGAGGGTATGGGGCCTCGGCTAGACCGCCAGTGTCAGGGGCCTATTCTGTCTAGTGTGGATGGAGGGGCCTCCCAGACCAGTGTGGATATTGGGGCCTGCCTCCTCAGATCCACTAGGGCCTCTCAGGCCATCAGTCTCAGAGGCTTCGACTGATCAGTATGAACAGAGGGCCTCCTTGGATCCATCACGGCCCCTTGGAGTCCGTGCGTGGGGATTCGTGGAACTTATTTTTACCGAGTTTGTTTATTCTGGAAGGTGACGACGTCCTCTCAAATCGAGACGAGTGACCTCGAGTAAAAAGTGGGTGGGCCAAAACACATGGTTGCCCCCCCCCCCCACCTCGAAAAGTGGGTGGGCACTTGCCCACCTGGCCCCCCCCCCCCTGTTCCTACGCCTATGAGAGAGAGGGAGGGAGAGGCTGAGGAGCAGACCATGCGGTCTCTCACGACAAACCCACATATCGGGAGGCCATACCGTCACCCACCATTGATCGGGTGGTTTCTTATGTGGAAAGCAGGAAGTGCACGATCGACAAGTTCACTTTTGTTCAGTGAAGTAATATTCTGATAGAAGAGTTTGAAAGACAATAGCACATTTGGTAACTCTCTCCATTGTGGATACTTGCGGCATTGTTCAAGCATCTCAAACAACTATACAAACCAGGCTGATTCTCGACAATGCTGTTTGCCCATCTTTGTCATGCATTTTGAAGCTAACCCATATCCAGTTTTATTTGCAAACCTCGGTTCCCATTCAAATGCTAGAGCGCCTTCAATCTGAGTCAACTAAATCCCTAACCATATCTTATTGTCGTCTCGGCGAACACCTATTATCCTCCCGTTCTTCTTATCCGATATGGTGTATCTCCCACAAAGAAACTCCTCTCTGCACCACAGTTAATCCTTGCCCGAGAGCGTCTGATTCCTTCCATCGCTGCTCCGGCCTGACAACAGCGGCTCCTCACCCCCCCCCCCCCCCCGTCTCTCCTCTCCACTATCCGCGACTCACGATAATCTCAACCAGCGAGGGCGGGATGTTGAGCCCGTCCGGGATGATGGCCCAGCCGTAGCCCTGCTTCTCGTCCACGTTCCACACAGCCAGCCACTTGATGTCGAAGATGGTCATCTCTCCGGGCAGCGTCACCAACACGTCCTCCTTGTCGTAACGACGCAGCGGGTTCACGCTGCGGGAAAGTAGAGGGTATGAGTTGTGAAACACATAACGTATAGGTAACGCTGTGAAGAATGGGACAGTGTGAATGATGTATACGTTGTCTTAAAATGGTCGATTCTTTATAAATGTCCCAGTACTTTAAGCTCAGCAGATAAATTGAAAAACAGCACCAAATAACACATGATTGCGTGATATGGCCCATATGTATTGCTATAACAATTAACATTACATACTCATATTGAAGAAGTGGCTGTTGCCTCCAAAATGAGCAAATGAAGCATAAAAGTTCCAAGTTCAAAGATCTATCACGGTATCAACAAGCCTGTCGTTAATGCGCAGTAAATTAAAATAGCTGGAATACCGCGTCGGTCCCGTGGCATGACCGTCCCCGTATACCGACAGATACTCACTATCCATATTCGTCGGGGACCTTGACTCCCTTGGAGGAGGGCTGGGGCCCGACGCCCACCCAGAAGTACACCTCACCACCAGTGCCGTCATAGCTGAAGTCTGCAAACAAGAGGCGCGCGTGAGAGAGTTGTGGAGACGACGAGTTTAATGCGGCTGAGATGAATACTGAAAGGCAAGACTGAAAGGGATGTGTTGCCGCCTCTCCTGGAAATTTGGCAGGAAAGGCGATAAAGTGACTTCTAGATGGTATAAAGACGCGGCGGTAACCAACGACCACAGATAACAGTAGTACGACATAATCATTTGTTGACGAATGGTTATATTCGCTCTACTCAACAGATGTCATGTAATTTATACAATTCCTATAAATCAACCTGCATATCAACTTACATATCTGATGCAGCCAGCCTTTTACCGTCTTGGACATGCTCTGCACCAGCCAAAATTAGACAAAGCACGGTAGCATCGTAAATGGTAATAACGTAATAACACATCAAGACCGTGAATACCCGCGCTAGACAAGGAGTCGGTATTACCAGAGTGGGCCTCCTCGACCCTGACCCTCTGCTAAAAGCTAGCAATGTCTGATGCCAACGCGGGGATCTGATCCTGTCCGCCGTATCCTGGAACCCTGACCCTATTCCCCATTAGTAAATATCTATGTCAGATACACTCAGATATGCATTGGACATAAATGTCACGGCCTGTGCAGTGTGCAGCATCAATACAGCCAGAAATACACGATGTCCTGAAGTGATAGACCATTGAGCATAACCTTTGCTCAGCCTCAGATTCTGATCATGCATCTACTTTTATTCTGAATTTTAATATTTCGTTTAACGCTATAAAAATAGTTTCTCAGAGAGGACATTTCAGTCGTATCGGTATGACTGAAATTCATTGAAGCATTACCTTTCAGTGACGTCATTGGTCACTTTTTGTTTGACCTGTGCATTGACCTGGACTGACCTTTGACCTCGATGGTTTTGGAGTCGATAATGCGGATCTGTCCGGAGCTGACCCCGTGACCTCGTCGACTCAGACTCGTCAGTGATTGTGGCTGCGGAGCTTCGAAACCCTCCGGAATGTACACATCTCCAAATGTGTCCTGCCGTCGGAGCGCAAGTGCATGTCATTACGACTGAGCGGAACCTGGGATGTTGTGAGGGACAAATCATAAGAGAGGAACGTATAGCACGTGCCATGTGCTACCGGGCCGCGGAGAATGGAACAAGTGTCACACATATCTTCCAAGAGCCCCAAGATCGATTGGTTTGAAACTAATTATGTTGAACACGCCCTGATGCAGAAATGTTTACACTGAACCCCAAGCGGCCTTTCCGTTAGAGATATATATTTTGGTTTATGGTATTTACGTACAACGGAAGAAAAACAAGAATTGGAAAGCGCCAAACAACATGTGGCAGATGGTTTCTTCAAGTGCCTACAAGAGGGAGACCCAATATTATGCAGAACTGGGTTCTAGTGTTCAGAGGTCAGAATATGAGAGCTGACACATCTTGGAGCACTCACCTGAACGGTGAGGTCGTATACAGCCAGCCACTTGATGTCGCTCAGTTTCTTATCTTGTGGCAGTGTGAGCGTGACGTCATTGTTGTGGTACCGCTGAAGGACGTTTGTGCTGCGAAAGGAACAAAAGCACGTGCTGTGTGAGAGCGTGATAACACAACCATCCAGGATGTATTAAAAAGAAAAATACGGCACTATGCTGCAAACTAAAATATGTAGCATGGGTACACGAAGCTTCATTAGGCGAAGCTCCAAAATATTCGATGAATGCATGTTCCCACACAGCGTTTTCATATTTACAACAATGATTTTTTTCCGATGGATGCCACGATGTCTAAGCATTCTTACTTAGAACGTAAGACTAACAACGCTCGACCACCTGAATAACGATTCTACGTCCTAGTAATGCACACAATATAGAAACCCACATAAAAAAATGTCTGGAGAAAGCTACTGCAGTCGCTGAGTCACATAGATTGTTCAATGTTCAGACAAAGCAAGGGAAGGGCAGCGGCGCCAATCATTCGACAGTGTCTAGCGTCTTCGTATGACGTCACTAGAGAGAGAGAGAGAGAGAGAGAGAGAGAGAGAGAGAGAGAGAGAGAGAGAGAGAGAGAGAGAGAGAGAGAGAGAGAGAGAGAGAGAGAGAGAGAGAGAGAGAGAGAGGCGTGAACGTGGAACTCATGGACATGATTACGGAATGTCGCGAACAACGGAGACTGCAGCCCTGCATATGCAGATAGCACCACCTCGGAGCGGGGACTGCACTGCCGTACAAAGCAGTAGCACCACCGCGGAGCGGGGACTGCACTGCCGTACAAAGCAGTAGCACCAGCTCGGAGCGGAGACTGCACCGCCGTACAAAACAGTAACACCAGCTCGGAGCGGGGACTGCACTGCTGCATATAACACTATCCCCGCCCGCCCGCCGTGTTGGCGGCGCGCGCTGGGAGAAGGCTCACCTGTCGTGCTCGTCTGGCAGAATAAACCCGCGAGGTCCCGGACGGTTGTTCGAGCCGGCCCAGAAGAATGTGTCGGTGCCCTCTCCATCGTATGAGAAATCCTGCGGGACGGCGGTTACGTCAACTGGGGTTCAAACAGCATTACAATAGCAACGAAAACACGAACGTAAACAACGCTTAAATGTATTATTATTATCATTATATTGCGACATCCTAAATAGATGATGAATATTAGCTACTTCCTATTCTTCCATATAATTGTGCGAATGGTTAAACAACTTTATTAGGTACTCTTCACACCTCGTTGCACGGTGGAGTATGTGGGGTAATATCACAACTCTGCCCTACCAGAACTCATGTGTCATACAATCGTTACCTCAGGTTCATGCCTAGAATTTGTGACAATACTTCTGCCGAGTGCCAAGGCCCACATGATTCGCGGATAGTGCCCTGACTCCTGGAATTGCCTAGCCCTTACATGTGCACATGAGTTCATCTTCAGTTCGCCGTTCTGCGGCACTTAACGCGAAAACGGATCTTCGATGACTCATGGGCAGTTACTGGTCTGCGGTATACCTATGTATTGAGCCTGACTGGGGTTCTATTGAGTTCGGCGATTATAGTGACGTCGAGTGCTATTGTGCTTTCAGTTCCATGAACAGCGATATTGCTTAACATACAAGGAACGAAATAAAGACGGAAAAGAGGCTGTCAAAGCCAACATCGCTGCGGCGTCCACAGGTTCACAAGCCCCACTCCCAGGCTGCAGCAGCCTTCCGGCATACATAGATGAAATTCTATAAGTTTGTTTAAGCTTGTAATTAATTACGTGTGTTTAGCTGAGGGCGTCGAACTGCCAAAGCGCCAGAGTATTTTTGTCAAAATTAAACCCGCTAATTTAATCGGGACGCGGCTACCTTTCGTTGCATGGTTTTGTAAACATACCTTACGTATAAGATGCGAACACTTTACAGTGCACATTGCACACAGACCTAGACTATTAATCCGTCTGGGAACGGCAACTATCCTGTATATTTAGCATAAGCTGGTGTCAATAACGCGACGGTCAAGGATGGGCGAGCCTGCAATACAGGAGTTTCACATAAGTAATTAGAAAAATCGCACTCCGTTAGACTATCGTTTGCAAGTGAAAACCGGTTCCAATGCAGGGCTGACGTCCGACGTCCTTTGCCTACAGCTGACCGGGCAAGTACCACCAGGAAAAGCGGGACCCTCCGCCTGAAATCGAACTGTCTGCTGATGGGACCATTTACAGTCGTCCGACTGGGCACAGTGTCAACGGATTGAATCGCAGTGAAATAGTCGCACACGTGAGCACTGCGCAGCTATAGTCGATAAGCTATGGTCTGTTCCCGTCGCTCCTCCCAAAAAATCTCTGATGAGGTTGGATGAGCTTGGAGGAGAGCCGTTTCAGAGGAGCCACGGGAACATTTTTGCGAGAAAATCAGCTGTTTGCGGGCTGTAACGGTCGGCGATTTATGGCGCGCAAACATAAATCAAGAGATACTAATCGCTTTCTAATAAAATAACCGTAGATTAATATCGAGCATTGCTATTAAAAGATACCTCATCCTCATCGATCACTAAAATCATGTCCAGTCCCCTCAAATCTCATTTATAAACAATTCACATTTGTATTACGTGCGTCAGATATGTCTACGCAGAGCCTCCTCCAAAAATCCAACTTTCGTTTGGGATGAGGGAGGAGGCAAATAGTGGTGGTGAAATGTGGAATCAAGATGAGCTTGGAGGAGCTTGGAGGAGCGACGGGAACGATTTTTTTTAAACGGGAGGAGGTTAGAGGAGCTTGGAGGAGGTTGGAGGAGCGACGGGAACAGACCCGTTGTAACTGGACAAAGTCCGATACAGGTAGGACTGAAGGCGTCGAACTGCAGTTAATGTTAGATTTACAATTGTGGAACTACATAGTTAGATCCAACCACATCCTCGTGCAAACTAAATGGATTCAGACCCCTTGAGGTTGACTTGTGCGGTGCACCAGTCTGTACAAAATAAGCTTGGCATGCAGCCTTTCATAGCTCTATTTTAACTTCCCATACCTTCCTCATTCCTCCCTCTCCTCTCCCCATCTATCCCTCTCAAACCCATCGTAACCAGCCTCTCGATTCCTTCCGAGTCATTAGCAGCCCTCCTCTAAATCCATCCCCGCCCGCTCCTCCCCTCCCCTCCTCTCCTCCCCGCCTGGCCAGTCTGCAGCGCACCGCTACCTGTCTGATGACGTCACACCGTGCGACTGCGTGCCAGTGACGACACGATCAGCTTTCCCGGAGGTGCCGGCGGCGCCACGCGCTCGCCCGCCCCGGAACAATGCCGCGCGCGGTGTCGGGAGGAGACGGCACCGCCGGGGAGGGGAGAGGGACAGGTGGGGCGGCAGGGAGGGGCGGGAGGGGCAGGCGAGCGAGGCTAGCGGGGCAGTCCGGAGTCCGGACCGTCATGTGGTGGTAGTGACCAAGACGGGACGAGACTGAGAGCGGACTGGGGCGGATGCCTGGGCAAGACAAGGAGGGGACCTTGAACAGGCTATATGACGGGGCGGGGGACAAGGTAAAAACGATCGACGTGAAGGGTCCGGACCGGAAAGGCTCGAAAAAAATAGGGAATAAAGACGAGGTCAAAACGAAAGCGGATCAGAAATCAAATATCTACAATAAAACAGAAAATGTATGCATATAACAAGGTAAGAGAAGACAAGAACACAGGGAAATGTCAAGAGAGGCACAAGTGAGCCATTCCAGGAAGAGCCGAGGGCCCGGCGGGCCGTCCGCTCAGGGTCGCTCAGCCCCGCCCTCGGAAGTACGAGTAGCACTGACCTTGATCAGGATGGTGTACTGGTCGACGGCGTACACATGGCCCGAGACCTGGTGGTGGTACGAATTGAACTTGTTGATGAACTTGCCCAGGTACGGCTCTTTGGAGTCCTGTGCGCTCCCTGTGGCCGCTGTTGGACAAAAGAGAGGGTGGTTAGAGAGAGAGAGAGAGAGAGAGAGACAGTCAAAATTCGGTGGGCATTGGTCAACAGACGACGGAAAATGGTCAGTGATAGGTGGTCGGCTCGGCGGTCGGTACTTGGTGGTCAAGGTCAACCGTCAATGGTCACTGTCAGTAATCAGGTACCATTGGTCAAGGTCAACAGTCATTTTGGTCAATGGCCATCATCGATCAGTGCTAAATAACTTGTTCGGTTGATCGCTTGTCGGCGGTCAGCAGTCAGTGATAGCTGATCAGTAGTCACTGGTCAGCGACCAGTGCAGTGGTCAGCGGTGGTTACTGGGCACTGGTCAGTGGTCAGAATTTAGTTGTAGATGGAATTGGAAGTCACGCTGGTGCATTGGCCAGTGGTCAATGGCTGGTGATCAGTGGTCAGTGGTCACGCTGGTGGTCAGTGGTCAATAGAAAGTGATCGATGATCCAATGTCAGTAGTAGTGGCCAGTGGTCGATGGTCACGCCAGTAGTCAGGGATCAAAAGAAAGTGATCACTGTCAGTAGTCAGGTGTCAGTGGTCAGAAGTCAGTTGCAGTGGTCAGCGGTAACTGGTCGATGGTCAATGGTCACACTGGTAACTAGTTAGCGGTCAACGGTCATCGGTTGGGTGTTGGCAGAAGCGTGTCAATTGGCGAAAGTAGATGAGCCAGTAGTAGCACACTCGCGAAAATCCGAGGAACCAAACCGGTAAGCTAACGGCTATCGATTCATCCGACTGGTTTGGTGCAGCCGGGCCGACCCCGTCTGAAGGCCCCGACCGCGCACGCAGCCCGCACAGGCTCAAAGCGGCAATTGAACTGCCGATCCGGTCATCGAATGAAATCGATCTGGTACTTGAATATACGAGTATATATAAGGAAGACGTTGCGTTCTGCCTATGTTGGTCCTCGACATAAAATTCGTGGAGCAGCGAACTGATCAGTTTGTTCTGTCAAACTACGAACATGACTAATTTAAGCCTACATTTTACGGGATATAGCAAAGAAGATGGATTTTAAAAAGCAGGACATTACGGGTTCCCCTCCATTGAACACCGAGCAAGGACCCAAAGCCAGGCTAAATGAAATCAAGACACGTCCATGCGCAGGTAAGATCGCTCCCACCGAGCTCCGAGCCGCCAGCGCCCGGTGTCTCTGCCTGAGGCCGTGTGAGAGACAAAGCACTACTGCTCTGCCCGTCGGGCCTCTGTGCAGAAGTCTTCCGCGCCACATGGAGTGAGCATCGCGCGGCCAATCTCGAGCCGTTGGTAAGAGCACCACTGCACGGCCGGTGCCAGGCTGTCGGCCCTGAGACTCCGCCGCCCGCCGCCCGCCCGGCACTTAGTCATGGGGTGACGTGTTCATCTGTCGGCCGAGGCGGATTCGAGCGGGATAGGTCGTCTGTCCAGTTGGCCAGCGCGGTGAATGTCGGTGACTCTGGGATGTGGGAGATGTGGGGCGCGGAAGGAGGGGCGGGAGGGAAGACAAGTTCCGCTAGTCAAGTGGACGGAAGTGGACCTGCAGTAGAGAAACACGTTGAAAAAATAATGAGGAAATACACTAATAGGATAGGAGTGTGTACACATCACACATTTATCATTCAATAGTATACCTAACGTCTTGGATACTGAATTTTATACTTATCTGATTCTACTACTTCTGAAGATTTTTTTTTTACAGCGGACTACTGCGGACTGAAAATCTGATGAATATTTTTTTGTAAAATTAACCCATTAGTGACACTTGGCAGAGCACATTATCCATATTATTACTAGGACATAGGTATTATTAGGGCATATTATCCACCTCTCAGGTTATTCGGGAATGTCCCGAAACGGCTACAGCTATGATGCTGAAATTTTCTGAGTTTTCCTAAAACTAAATATAGGGCAGCGCACATTCCCTGAAAATTTGAAGTTGATAACCTTAACAGGAGTGGTTCCAGGGCATCGGAGATCGGAAGGCCCTTTTCATGATGTGAGTCTTTTGGGTGAATATCACGATATTGATGCATCATAACTGTATGCACCAGTTTTGCGAGCAGCGACTGAAAGGTACCTATCATGTGATAATATATACATAGTGATTGTTCATCTTCTTTTTATACATTTTTCCTATAATATGACGGACCCAGGCATCGTTGGACTACACCCTCTGGTCCCTGGGGTGACCGTTAGATTGACAGGGCGGGCTGTCCCAATGGGACACCCCCGTTCCACCAGACGGTCTCTGCCACTGTAGCACCGACCGTCGACGCGTTGATCCCAACAGGCCAAGGGCTAAGCCATATTCAAACATTCCATAGCTCCTATGGCCTTTTTCAGGCCGAAAGAAAAAAAGCCGTGTTAGCCAGACGGAGGCCTCAGTTGAATCTCCAAAGGCCCTGTTGACTGCATAGACAGAAACATTTCAGTCGGTTCTCCAGCCTATAGCTGGAGAGTGACACCTCTAGCCCGGTTGATCAGCCCGAGTTACCTCAGTCGGCCTTTGGCACCTCCAGCCCGGCTGGACAGACTACACTTCTCGTTAGTTTGAGAATGGCACCTCTAGCCCGGTTGATCAGCCAGAGACACCTCAGCCAGCCTGCGGCACCTCTAGCCCAGTTGGTCCGACCGAGACACCTCAGCCAGCCTGCGGCACCTCTAGTCCGGTTGATCAGTCAGAGACACCTCAGCCAGCCTGCGGCACTTCTAGTCCTGTTGGTCCGACCGAGACACCTCAGCCAGCCTGCGGCACCTCTAGCCCAGTTGATCAGCCAGAGACACCTCAGCCAGCCTGCGGCACCTCTAGCCCAGTTGGTCCGACCGAGACACCTCAGCCAGCCTGCGGCACCTCTAGCCCAGTTGGACAGACCGAGACACCTCAGCCAGCCTGCGGCACCTCTAGCCCAGTTGGACAGACCGAGACACCTCAGCCAGCCTGCGGCACCTCTAGCCCAGTTGGTCCGACCGAGACACCTCAGCCAGCCTGCGGCACCTCTAGCCCAGTTGGTCCGACCGAGACACCTCAGCCAGCCTGCGGCACCTCTAGTCCGGTTGGACAGACCGAGACACCTCAGCCAGCCTGCGGCACCTCTAGTCCGGTTGGACAGACCGAGACACCTCAGCCAGCCTGCGGCACCTCTAGTCCGGTTGGTCCGACCAAGACACCTCTGACCTCAGTCGGCTCACCCAGGCCGTAGAGTGGCACCTCTAGCCCGGTTGATCAGCCTGAGACACCTCTGTCGGCTCACCCAGTCTGGAGAGTGCACGGAACTGTGCTGTGATCGCTATCGGGCAGGGGCGTGCCGACCAGCCGGCGCCGCCAGTCCACCTCGGTAGGCCCCAGGACGGACCGCCGACTTTCACAAATCCCGTCAGCGTGCTCAGGTGCGGAAAGATGGCAGTGTATAAGCATGAGTGTCTGCAGACACTCAGACCGGTTTCTTGTGGCCTGTAGGGGATTTCCACTTGATCCCGCGAACAAGGAAAGGATCGATTAGCAGTGGCATAGTCCATAGACTACGGTATTTGCTGTTTCCCTTATTGAGCCACAGTTCTAAATAAACAAAGATGTCCTTGCCCCGAAAAAAAATGTTCAGCTCGAGGACGACCTCATTATCAATGCATAGCATGAATAATATGCGAGGAATGCACCATAGCATGGCGGCGTTTCATGCCAGAATGCACCATCTGTCTTCAGCGGGGCTCAGTCATCCACAAGGCACACATTCCTCTTATACCATAAGGCGTCTACAAGTCTTACCCCGTCTAAACTAGGCATGTGCTTACATCATAGTTAACGTCATATGTCAAGGACATTCAAAGTCATTCGAGGTCAAGTAAGACTAACTTTGACCTTGACCTTTTCTAAACGAAAAGTTCATCATTTGTCACATAGGTATCTGCAAGAAAAACAGTTACCATTATCAAACAATAATTGAAAAAGACTCACAAAACCATTAGTAGGTCATTTTTGTTCCCAGACCAATTCCTCGGATCTTTTCGCTAAACAAGAAATCCCAATTTCTGAGTCATTGCCTGGCCTGTCGCCACCGGGCCTTGGTCGCCACCTGTGAGGCCACCAGTTGACCTGGCCCTGGGATGCTTATTGCTTGCTGTCCCTGGTGAGGTGCAGCCACTGCTATTTTTGCGAGCTTCAGTTCAATAAGGATCAAATGTGACTTGTGAGGGATTTTGCCCCATTCAATGGACCGTCGAGGGATTCATATTGCAATTTGCAATTATCAGAATGAAAAATATCGAGGAAAGGGCTAAGGCATCTTAGTCAACGTTTATTTTCAGTCGTTTGGGCTAATGATCTACCTTCTTCCTTTCAGCAATAACAGAGTTCGTCCTCTGAAGTGTCGAGGGCTGGTATACCTACCCTTGATAATTTTTATCTTTGTGTTGGATAGCGTTCTCAGATGAAGACGTCGATTACGGGGATAAGAGCCACGGCTAAGTAGCGACGAGGACGGACGGACCGACCCGACCTTCCCGCTCCGGAAGGAATCGGAACTAAGGCTGGGTCCGTCCCTTCCGACAACCGTTGCTGCCCGGAATCACAGCGGGAAAAATCCGCCGGGAAAAACATCGTGAATCATGGTGATTTAATTTCAGAACGCTTAGCGTTAGTTAGGCATTCAGTCAGATGGTGACTGGTGAGTAAACTTTACTTACCAGGACGTTTGCATATACCTAAATTAACCCGCGCCCTGCTGGGGGTCCTGGATTTCCACGCCCTGCTGGGGGGGGGGTGTTTGAACACCCCCCCCTTGTAACTCGGCTCCTGGGCCACGTAGCGATACGCGGAAGGCGGCGTTCGAAAGAGCGTAAAAAATAATGACGAAATCACTTCGGTCAATTTTTTGGTCAGGTCAAAGGTCAGGTCACCAGAGGTCATTGAAGGCAAAATTTCGCCGATTTCCAGGTCGAATGTCGAAAATTTCCAAGAAGCCAACGCATAACTCGGGAACCAATAGAGCTACAGCGCCGC